GTCCTCGTAGAATTTGTCTCTGACGGCGTCGGGGTTGGTCATCGTCGGAGCGTAGGCGCTGATGATGGTGGCGAATTTGCCTCCCCAGAGAGGCAGGCGGAGGCTCATCAGGCGATCGTTGATGCCCTGCGGCAAACAGGGCGGTCGTCCCACGATGTCGTTCCGAATGGCGAAGGCGACGCCCGTGTCTCGTCGCTCTGCCCTGGGTCGACCGCTCCAGAAGAAGGTGTAGCCGGCACCTACCTCCTCCAGTTGGCCTTGTTCGGAGAAACGGGTCTCGCTGAGTGCGGCGATGTCCACCTTGTAGCGCGCCAGTTCTCGTGCCACTAGCGCCATCCTCCGCTCCGGTCGGTTGCTCCTCGGATTGTCTAAAAGGGAACGAACATTCCAGGCTGCCAGAGTGAGCGAGCTCACCCTGCCAGTCTGGTGACAACGAGTGGGGCGACGGGAAGGAGATGGAGAAGAAGATGACGAAGGAGAAGAATAGGCAGAAGAATAGACGGAGGTAGAGGAAGAAGAGGTAGGATGAGGATAAGGAGTATGGTTGTTGTTGTTATTGGTATTGTTGTTATTTCGATTTTGATTGTTTCGACCATGTTTAGACGTCTGCGGCCCTGGCTAGCCTGGAGACGGCGTGGTACCCAGCAATGTTTAGGCCACCTTTTCTAGGCCCTTCCCCTCGTGGGGCCTGGCAGTGCCATCCCTGAATAGGGCTGCCATGTGCCGTTGTGGCACGGCCGAACTCCACTATGGGACCAGGACTTCGGGTTGTAGTGGAGAGCGACTCGAATTCGCCGTAAGCCGCAGTCTCCGTCGGCGAAGGTGGGCGCGTCAAGGCGGTGTCGATGTGGAGATCCATCCCGTCATCGGCTGTCGAGCGACGTGCAGAGACGAACCACGTCACGACGGTGCCGACGCTAGGTTCCATCCGACCTTCCATCCAGCGGAATCCGGAAACCCTGTGCACACGGCACAGCGCACAGGGCCCCCTCACCTGGTTTAGCCCGCCGGTCGAGACGGTTGCCCGGGGTGTGGCCGCTGAGCAGAGCCCAGCTACGTGGAGCCACATGTGAGAGTTGAGTGCCAGCAAGTGGACGCTAGGCGCAGTCTCACCTGCAAGCAAGTGAGCGACCACCACGACCATTACGTGAACCCACCGCTGACACCCTACACCCCGTCCGCCACTACACACACGCACACACACAACGCGACGAACTGTGTGAACCGATAGCGGGCGCCAGTCAGCAACCTTCCTATCCGAGACGCTTGACGTGTCGGGATAGTCTCGGACTCAAGTCACTCCCGCATGGGGACCGAGTCGAGATGCACACTTCCCATTTGCGTGGGAGGTGGCGGTTGGGTGCATGAGGTGTGGGAGTGTTTATGTGTGGTGGGGTGATGGTGGTGGTGGTGGGAGGTAGGGAGTGAGTGAATGTGTGGTGTGGCCGGCGGTTGTCTACCGCAGGTCGTCGTGGATGCGCATGTGACCGAATAGGCCCATGCGATGCCTGAAGGTGCGAGGGCAGTGTGGGCAGTTGAGACGAGCTTGGTGGGTGTAGGTTGGTGCTCCAGGCACTGGTTCGCCAGTCTCTGTGCGATGGATTCGCAAGTGACCGATCAGGCCGATGCGTGAGGTGAATGTGCGTGGACAGTGTGGGCATGATAAGTCGGCGGCGGCAGTGTCAGCTACGGAGGAGGCGGTGATGGTGGTGGTGGTGGTGGTGGTGGTGGTGGCGCAGACGGATGGAGCGAGGGTGGGTGTGCACGGTGGATGTGTTGGATGTGTTTGTCCACCCTCTTAAAAAATTTGGTGTACGTCTTCTTGGGCGTTGTTTCTCGCCATAATATTTAACCGTAATCCGTGACATTAAAGTTTAATAGTTGCGGCCCGTCAAATCGTTGTCGTATCAGCACAGCTACATTGCTTTGTAAATTCCAGCTGTCCTGTCATCCACTGCATACATATGTGGGCTGACTTGGTCTGAAGATGTAAAGTGGTCAATAGGCTTGAAAGCATTGATCCCGACATTCTTTTTTAGTACAGTTAAACCCGTAGACGTCGACAGTAAGCCTTTATAGATTCCAAATCACGATTTAAGATGGAAATCAGGAAGACCTCTTAATTGGAAGGGGGTTAACAACCTGTGTAATGCGTTGTACAGTAAAGTATATATGGCCCCGCAGGTTTCCTCCTTAGAAAAGGGCTTGACGCCACTTGGGATTTGACCCGTAAGGCGGTTTAGTGTTGGCAAGTGTACCCTAATTCGCCTGGGCAGTCCAGCTAGATCCGTGAGCACAAGAGACTTTTTACCTAACGCTGCAGTTTTACGGGACAAAGAAACTGAAAAAGAATCTCGGTGTGCTCATGACAAACTCCCTCAAAACTTTCCGCTCATTGTTTGAGTGTGACAAAAGTCACAATGCCTCTACGGTACGCCGCAAAGTGGGCATTTCTATAGTCTGAGGAAAGGCGTCTACTGTAAGATCTTCGTAGCGCTCGTGCGACCACAGTTGGAATACGAGCCTGTTTAAGATCAACAGTCTTGAAAGGGGCTAAAGGAGAGCCGTGAATATGGTTAGGGTTCAGACCTACATTCTTTATGCCACCACCCTTTCCTTTAGCTTATAGGCAACTGCTGGGAACCTCTTGCAAGCAGTCTGCAATGTGAAGGGATCGAAATGCAGCCTGTCCTTTGAAGACTTTTCGAATTTGTGACCGCGACTATCCCACGAGATCACCCGGCAAACCAGCGAATATGGTCGGCAAAACTGGATGTACGGAAGTTTTTCTTTTCTGGCATAGTGATAAAACCATAGAATGCCCACCACCCAAGGACGGGGATGTCAATGTTGATGGAAAACTTTAAAAGGAAACTTAATACGTTATGTTCTGAAAAAAACAAGAGCGACGAGAGGTCGGACTGATCCCTAGGTAGTCAAACCGAAGTTGTCATACTATTATGGGCTCATTTGAATTATTGCAACACATGTGGTTTTCCTGCATCTCGCACCCAATTTCCCATTGTAAATACGGCATTTGAAGGTTTATGCCTACTCCTCAATAAACTAGACTAAACCGAATATTTGGGAAGCCTGTGTCCGCCTGCTGCACATACTGCTCCAAAGCCGTGAGGAAATTTAGACACAAACTTTCATTTATAATGTTGACCAGGATCAAAAGACTCGACTGGATCCAAAACAGTTTTCGACTTTCGTCCGCTGTTTTGACTTCTTCTAGACGTGTTAAGCTGTCTACACGTCCTATTGAGCCCCAGACAGGCCTAAGACTAACAAGCAATGGAATCAGAACTGGAGAATGTCACAGAGTGTCCCGATGCAGCGGATGGAGTATTTAAATAATATAACAGAGGGAAGACAGCTGAATTACTTATGCAGTAAAAATTACAGCGTCATTGGCGGACGGTCCGTCCATTGATTTTAATGGGCCGAAATTGAGGCGGATGGGGAAATTAGGTCACCTGTTTCTTGCTTTGGCTTGCGCGAGGCCGCCAATTTCGGCGTTCCAGTAGCTAAAACGTTCTGTGGGACATCAAAAGTGCATTAGATTCTTTTAAACTTTTACGTTTTGACAGAATTTCAATTTAAAATGACAGACCCCTTATCGGCTTCCTCTCACAATTCGCTGGTGTGCTCGATTTGCTCCTGCAAGTCAGCGAAGTATACCTGTCCACGCTGCATGATTAATTATTGTTCACTTCCGTGTTACCGCGACCGTAGACACGGTAAATGTTCCGAACAGTTTTACCGCGAATGCTGTGAAAGGTCCGCAAGCGACTGCGATATTAATCCTGAGTGCCGCAAACAGATAATGCGAATGGCTCAACTTGAAGATCAGAAGCAGGAGGACGAATGCATACAACAAGAAGACTACGACGAAAACTCGGAAGACTCTGACGAGTCCTCAGATGAACTCTCAAAAAGGTTTTTCCCTGCAAATTTCATCCACTTTTGATACTTCTACCTTTTTGTAGACAGTCACTCGATTTTTGGGTATAACACCTAAACACTATCAGAAGCTAGGGAAGACAGCTTTCTTTTGTCTCATAAATTAGGCACGACCTCATGACCAAAACTCAGTGCCACATGCTAGATCTCGTTACACGATCAGACAGTGTTTTAGTAATGTGTCAGTGGTCAAGAACTTCAGACTTGTGCACGTCTCCCTACTAGACGTGTGCATCGTATGACACTGCATTGTAGGTGACAGTTATTTCCGGTGAAAAACGCTACTTCTACTTGCTTGTTGCTCTTCCCTTTATGCGCCAGTCACCAACCTGCTGTTCGATAAGTTAGAGTTCTAGGTGGTCGAGTTCGGCAAACGTACGCTTTCGACTATTCGTCAACAAATATATGGAAGAACGACCACCAAAATCTGATGTGTCGACGGCCGAGAAGAAGGAATTATTTCTCATTGCCATTTCGAGGGGATCCGGCGAGCGAAATCCTAAATCGTCGCTTAGATTCTGCTATCGCGCGCACGTACTCAGCCGCTAGGATAAGATTGGTGTTCACAGGCACTCCGTTTCTTCGCATTTTCAGACCTAATCAATGTTCATCTACGTCATCACTTGCTCCTGTGGGAAAGGTTATATTGATCGAACAACTAGGCGTCTATCTAAGCGGATGCGAAAGCACCATCCTGCCCAGCCAAATTAAGGTGGAGAAAAGTCCATCTCTAGCGCAATTATCTCAGTTAGCGCATAGATCATTGATGGAGCGAAGCAGATGCCTATTTCTTGTTTTTCGTTGGGATGAATCTCCAATCTTGCACTTTTAAGAATGCCGACGGTAGTCTGGACATTTTTCGTTTCCAAAAAAGGAGCGCCCTCTCTCGGGCTAAGTCCGTTTTCTGTTGCATTGTTTGATGCCTACCGACCTACAGAGTGTTTTCCTTTAAAGAAGAGGAGTTCACTACCCATCTTAGATACTGGAATTCGGACTACTCCAAAGTCTCTAGATATTTGTTTTTGGTCAACATTGACGCTCTCAATTTTAAAGGTTTTGCCAGTGTTATTGTAAGCCGCACACTCAGGCTTCCGCTGAAAATTCAGTAACTTCTGTTGGATTTGTTATTCATTAGAACTGGCCGTTTATAGTGTGAATCTCGCAAGCGACGAAGACTGGACTACTGCTTTCAGCTCCTGATAATGATATTATGATACTTGCGATAGTGGCGATACGTAGATGCTTACTGTTGATCAAACCCCCTTCCGCCGACTTTAGGACGCGATATTTCACGATCACAAGTCAACCGAGTCGGTTTCGGGTGTGCTTACCTGGACGTCCTTAACGCATCTTTTACCCATGGGTCCGCGCCCCTTCGGAAGAATCCAAGTTTTAACACACCAACTTTCTGTATTTTCAGTTTGGAAGAGACTCCTACGCTTATTTACTTCGAAAAATCTATCATTTAGTGAGCCGTTTATATACGCAAACTATCTCCTAGCACTGGCGTAACCGAGTTAATTAATTCAGTAGCAGAGAAACATGTTTCATCCTAGTCTGCCGACGGCCTATACATACGTTGGTTGAGCTATCTGCTGTGGACGCATGAAAGAGAGTAAGGTGAATAGCCTACTCTGACGTCGGTTAGACTATTTGCAGCCTTCAATATCTGAATATGATGGTTTGCATGCGACCAGATTTCGACTGGGAAAGTTGCGATTTCCATTATGTTTATGAAGGAACCCTGTCGTATACAGAATCTATTGGAGCTGCCTAAAGGTTTTTTGTGATTTATTATGTTTTTCTCCTCTTTTCTGATGGCAGCTTAAGCCATCGCACTTTCGTATCCCTATCCGAAAGTATGTTACTTATTCCTTGTTCGCCCTGCCACTGAAAGGCATTTGACTAGCCACCCGCAGCGACTCTTCTCAAATAGGAGCCCAACTGTTTGTTTCTCATGGTAGGTGTATATTTGTCTGTGCTTGCCGCGTTTTTAGTCCTGTATTTAGCCGAGTCTTCCCAGGATCCCATTGTTCGTTATAGAAATGGAAGAAACTTTTTTCGTTGTGTAAGCATGGACACATTTTCGCCCCTTTTCTCTAAAACAGCGTACAAGTCTCCGATTTTTTTCATCCAGACTGGGCGACATAGATCTCACAGCGCCAGACTTTGATGTTGATGTTGTGTGGAGCCGTCTGTCAAAAGAAGAAAAGCGCGAATTCCATCGACAACTCGCCAATGGCACAATTTATTCATCCATTCCTCTTTGGACGCCGTGGTGGCATCCTTCAGCAAAGGACCTCATAGCGTCCTTTCCCGACGATTGTATCGAAAGTGCCAGCCTTCCGGTTTTGCGCCCAGTGAGACCACTTTCCAAACTTTTGTCCTCCGAGCCGCATCCATCAGTCGTGTATGCGTTGGCCGAAGTTCTCTTGGGGTTTGCGTTGACAGCCAGGTTTGCACTTTTTATTTCTTGCTTTTCCAATTATTTGTTACTTTCAAAATTTTCTGACCCCTGTATATGCTTGACTTGTGTAATTTTTCATCTGTTTCAGGTATTATAATGGCGAATACCTGCAGGATATGTACTTGGAGTCAGCAGACTTCCTCCTTAAGTTAGTGAGTTGTCTGGGCGCACCACAAATGTCTCAGTCGGACTTGCATAGGACCCAGGCGGACAGGACACGGATAATCAGGGAGACTTCCACAACAGCACCCATCTTCACCAATTTTGAAGAGGTGTTGGCCTTTTTCCAGTTTCGTTTGGCCGAGAACCGCCTTGTCTGCTCTTCTTCCACGATAGTCTTATCGACAGACGACCTGCACCGTTTGCTGGAGAACATCCAATTTGCACAGCGTGCTCTCTCCGAAGTCGAAGAACTTCTAGAGAGGGCCGCATCGAAAAAGTCAAAGTCAAGAGTGCTGCAGTTTGCCCTCCGAAAAATGACTTTTTTGCGAGCCTGTGTGGGGGAGCAGGACGTTTCGGCAAAAAAGTGGCTGGGCGAAATTCTGCCTCGCTTGAAACGGGAGGTCGAAGCATCGCTTTGCAGTCAGGCCATGCGGGTCGAGATGGAGAATAAAGCCCAAAATTACAGCCAACCTGTACGCCACTCTGCTTTACCCGATTGGCGTAACATCATTCGGTCAAAAATGCCTCAACAACCAATTCTTGACTGCACATCTCCGTCCGATCCATAGACGAACTCACGTTTCCATGTAAAGTGTACATTTTTCCGTCCGACCTATTAAAATGTCATTGTGCAACTAAATATGTCTGTCTCTATAAATTAACATTTAATTTCGAAGTAGTCATTACAGCGGTGTCACTCCCGTCCATATAAGCGTTTATTGGAAACGTGAGTTCGATTTTCGGATTTAATCCAGCGCGTAATGCTTCGAGTCTCAGCACTAACAACCTGTTTTTTCGATCGGCTACCATGTCCACTCAGCGTTATGACGTACATCCTCTCTGCTAAGTTTTCTATATGCCCCGACACGCTGTTTTGGCGGCGTCATGTCCAATTCCGTTACACATAATTTTGATAATTGGTGTAATGGGGACCTCCGGGAGTAGGATTATATCAAATGTTGCAAACCGCCCAGGTATGTAATCGTAACAGTGTGGTCTTTATAAACTTTAAAGACGGAATCATCGCTTTGCAGAGCATACATCGAGCTTACTGTGTGTAATTTCTACGTTTGTGTTCTAAAATCGATTATAAGAAAATAGCTAACTACACTGAACTAAAAGGAACTTCAGCTATTAACCGTTGGAATTCTGAGGGAAGTTTGTCCCGGTTTCGAAGTAAGCCGACGGTTTATATTTCGAACACAGCAATCTCTGCTGCTATAATTTGACAGCAGTGCTGACAGACTTGAGTCTTATTATGGCCAGGGCGACTTGCGCAACTCCGACCTCACCTGTCTTCCATGTTAACCGTGTTTACATGACAAGACGGAGTCAAGGCACTTGATGACGATCTGACTTGGAGTAAGGCCTCTTACCCATCCTACAACACGACTGATTCCATTCCCATGTCGGAACCGCCGGCGCTGGAGAGACACGCCAACCACCAGTATCTGGTTCTGCTTACCAGTCCATTCGATCATCGGAGTGCGGCCACTGTCCCCAGCATATCCTCAGGTAGCTACAAATGAGACCTGAGTGTCAGGTGGACTAACCGCGAAATGACCATCTCGTGCAACGAGGCGTTTGTTGGGACTGTTAATCCATCAAGACGGTTATTCCCTGGATGTTATTCCCTCGGGTGTTAATTTACTCAAAACGATAACACGGCACCAAATCCCTAAGTAACTGAGTGCAATCCGGCGGTCCGGGAGGGTCTCTAGGCAGGGCAGAACATATTCGTTTTAGATAATATCCGGCTTGGGAACTCCTGCGTTTGTTGAAGTTCACGCCTTGTCGCATGACACGGATCGCGCTGCTTCGTAGTACTATAGATGCAGGAGTGACTTAAACCAGGTCTGACTATGTTTGATAAAACAGCCAGCAGGATAGGTTCATCTTGGGATTTAGCATGCGCATGTGTCCCTCAGCCGACTGAGTTAATCTGCGCATTGAAGTCTGCTAAATCCTCAGTCTGCCGGCACAAATCTGCGGTTGTTCGGCTGACACATTGGACGTACGCTGTGATGTCTGAAGAAACCACTCTCCCTTTGCCCTCCCCTACCGTGTCACGGACCGTTCTGGGGGCCAGGGCACAGTGTAGTCGCGACGTTTTTTTCGAATGCGCTGACGGGATTCCGGCACTCCCACTTGTCTGAACAGCAGCGAGCGCTGACAGTTACTATCTATACAGGCTGGCGCACAGTGTCGCGCATTCCGCAGTCCACTCTGGTGCACTTGGATATAACTTGGCAATTTACGATAAGAGAGTCAAATCTTTTGCTGGGGGGACGAGACTAGAACCGGACTTAAACAGCTGGGACGACTCGTATTCAAGCCTCTAGATGGCTAATCCTTAAATCTCGGCAGGTAGGCAGCCTGAACACTTCCGCCGACTGACGACCTCGTTAGCACCGTTATGGGTCTTACATATAGGACAGAAAGGGCAATGTGAAAGTGTTGATCTCATGTGGGGCGTTCCATCTGTAGGATTTCCCCATGTTGGCATTGGACCCATGATGAGCGGTCAGCAGCGGCATGCCATTATTTGAGGCATTGATAAAGCCAGTTAGACGGACTTGGTGAGGACTGGTAAAGGCTCTAAGACAGAAACCGAGAATACTGACGTAACTTAAATGGAGAGATCATTTACGATTTTCTAGGCGGCGTGACCTGCGGAAATTTCACGTGGCCGATTAGGCAGCGACCAAGACAGAGAAGACTGGACGGTTGATGGCAAGAGCCCGTGCTGTGCACAAATACCGTGAGCACTTCCGTTTGTACTCTTTGCCTTGCGTGTCAGCCACAGGCTAAACACACTAGTCTTCTGGTTGCCGTGGCTGAAACGAAAACAGGACAAATGTGGCCAGGTATAATAACGTGTAGTTGACTGACGGCTACACAGTTCGCTGCGCTCCGCCTAAACAGATGTCCTCGGTACTGCGACGCATGCGTGATATCCAACCCCATGGAAGTTTTAGAAATTGTTTTTTCTTGTATTAAATAGATGTCGGTCTGAGACTCCGCATTATTAGTGTGTGATCTCACAATATGATTATAGTGGGCCTGGCGAACCCCATTTCTGCATACCGAATAGTTCTACAAATGCTAAACGAAGTTACTTTGAACATTGCTGCCCCCGACCAACGGTGGTCAGGGGATACAATGGGTTAAGAATAATATGCGAAACTATCTTAGCTACTTCCAAGAACCAGGTGTCATGTAGATACAGATTTTGAGAGATAAGTTCAGACCCAACCCGGCGTAAAGTAATTAAGGGATGCAGGCTGTCTCAGTTGTCAGTTTTGCCAAAAGGTGGGGGGACTTTCGGTTACCTAGGGAAGGTGCAATCGTCACAAAATATACAGAAGCGAAACTTACAACAATCTACAGTTTGAACAGGACACCGGGCGCTTCATCAACTGATAGTTATGGTCGGAAAGCGCGCCAGTAAATTCTACAGGACCAGTCTTCAATACGTGCATGTTGTTAGGGGCGTCGCAGTTATTTGTTCTCAATCAATTCTTTGACGTGGGCGTATGCAGTTTGACCAGCAAAATTTGTTTCACAACCACCACCAGAGGTCACCTGGAAACAGTAATCGGAGTAGGTTTGTGGAAAACCTACTGACGAAAGGCATAATGCCAAAAACGGACGAACCGGTGGGCTTTGACTGCTTCGTAGAAAATGCTAATCGTTTGATATACTGATGAGAGTATGAAGCCTAAGAGATGATAAATGTAGTTTTTAAGGTGCCCTTCGAACAGCAACAGAAATGGAGACTATGGCGAGGCAGACGTGGCGGACGGCCGGTTCGTGGAGAGCAAACGTGCATTGCGAAAGACCACTCGAGCTGTTTAATTTTCCTATAGAGTCGACTGTATATCCAACTAAAATTGAGGCACGTAGACTTACAGGTCACAATTGTGGCTCCTTCATTACAGCCAGATTCGAGAAGGTCTTTTGTAAACAATACGATGATGCCTTTAATAGAATTGCCAGAGTGAAAATCTGAGGAAGACGTTCGCCTAATCTAACCCCTAGTTACGCCCTAGTCAGACTCCGGAGAGCTGGGCCTTCTTCGTTAGGCGGGACCAACAGGACACCGGCTGTCTCCTTAATCGGGAGTAATAAGTACATCTGGCCACCCTCAAGATGCCTATCATAGTTCATTGGGCGTGCATGGTGGTGTGCTACGCATAAACTTCATAGATGAATAACAACGGTGGGAACTTTCCTGGTATGAATATCTATTGACCGGAGAGTCGGCAGGAATCAACTCCTAGGCGGACTTCGCCAAGTTTTCCGTTATGATGACTTAACAGCGACACGATGTCGCAGAAAGACGTCTGCCAAAGGTCGCCGAAAATTGAATTAAAGCCAAAACGAGACCATGCATAGTCTGGACGCTGTCAGTCGAAGGGGGCAAGACGCGTCTGACAGACACGAGTAATCGCAAATGGTGGTTAAATGTGCAGATACAAATGTGTTCTTCTCTGCTTATGACGTCGCGAAGATAACGTACGAGACAAAAAACAACACGCAGCTATATGAACGCTATTAGCAAAAGTATATACAAAGATGTTCATGGTGGTCAAGCGGAAGCCTGCTGCTGTTGTATCTGCTGTTGTTGTTGTTGTTGCTGCTGCTGTTGGTGTTGCTGCTGCTTTCCAAGGGTAGCTTCCTTACGGGACGCGTTTTGGAGTTCGTAAACGTCGCATTCGTCCGCCGGCAACTGCACATATCGCACGATAGATCCCCGAATAAAACAATTTTTCACCGAAAGCTTTCGAAGTGTTAGTAAACATATAAGGTCCTACCATATAAGGATGCTTTTCAGGATCCGTCACAGTAATATCAGTGAGACGAAAATTATGAAACTGATCAACTGAATGAAGAGTACCACATATGCTAAGACAAAGTAAAGAATAAACTGGAAAGTACCAAAGGTCGTTTTTCAATTCAACCACGACGTCCTTACCAACGAGTGTCTTGAAAAACGAGAAAAATATCTACGGAATCAATCCCTAAAACAAGAACCAACCATCTTGAAGACGATGCGATAAACAGCCTGTTCCACCCGTGTGACAAATCTTATAGGGTTGTCGGAGGCCCCACGTTCCTTATTGGCTCTCAACGCCTGCTCGATAATTGGGTAATCTTTTCTCAGCTTGTTTTTATTCCCCCTTCACGGCAAGGGCGCTGACTGTTATGAATCCAGACCAATATATCCACACGAATTTCCTACTGGGTAAGCGCTGTTGTTAGCTAAGGGTTATGGGCAAGCGTAGGGTTCGAATTATATCAATGATTTTGCTACGGTAAGAGCTGAGTTCGGGGTACGGTTGAAGTTATTTTCACGATAAATTTCTGTCAGGATTATTGTTATTCTTTGGCCAGGGGTCAATGCTAGTATTAGAGTCAGGGAAGGATAAAGCGACTGATCCATTTTTCACGCGAAAAAGGTTTTCTCAGTGGGATTTATCGTGACTACTGATTTACAATTCCTGTTTCATACGTATGACACCCTTGTTGTTTGTACAATTTTTTGTCTCTTTCTGTATATCGCTTT